AACCAAGATTTGTATTAAAATTCCTCTCTGAGACAGTGAGAACATAAATAAGAATCAACAGAGATTATTTGCAGTGCTAGACACAGTATTTTGCAGCATACTGCCATTTACAAGTTTCTTTTCTTTTGTAAATTGCTGCTAAATATGTGTGTACTGGTCATACCAGACAGTTCAAAACTTATTTTAAAACCTAAATCCTTGAAACTAGACAAAGTAATGAGCAATTTTTATGAACTCATGTTAAAAACTTGGCTTGTTTTGTGTGGTGAATAATGCTTCCAACGTGGGCTGCCCCTCATGCATTCAATGTGGATTTAGTACCTTCAGTGCCAAATTTTGCCCTCACTTAACAGCTTCATAGTCCCGAGTGGTGAAAACAGGGGCTGCACAGTTTAACTGAGAGCAAGGCTTCATCATTTGTGCTCAGCGAGTGTGGTTAATTCCTCATCAACACAGGGGGATTAACCCCAATTAATAGAGGTTCATTTTGCTTTTGGATTACTGCTACAGATGATCTAATGGTATTTATTTAACCCTTATCATAGCAGGAAAGAGCCTTTCATCTGATGTTACAGTTGAACAGCTGAATTCTCCCCTGCTTTCTGAAATCTCTGCAAGGTGTTTGCCACCCAACAGCTCTGACTCCCTGCATTTTTCAGCACTTTCTTTGCTTTCCTACACCCTCCATGGGAATATTTGTGCTTAGAGGAAAGGATCATGCTACCTGCCTTCTTAGCAGCCTCTCCTGGATGAATTAGCTGGTCTATCAACAGCTCTGTCTCCTCCCTGTGACACAGGTGAAGAGCAGCCTCTTACAGAAGACATACCCAGATTCACATAAGGCATATTTACGTGAACTGAGAAATTCTCTTCCCAAAACTCCTGCCAAAGATCATCCCTGAAAGTGCTCAAGGATAGGTTGGATGTGGCTCTGAGAAACCTGGTCTAGGGAAGGGTGTCCCTGCTCATGGCAGGGGGTTGGAATGAGATTGTCTTTAAGGTCATTCCCAAACCCAACCACTATAGGATATCCTGGGCATCTGAACCCTTGGACATGCAGAAAGCAAACCTTGATTGCCAGCCCTTAATCGTGCAACTCGAGACTGAAATCAGAGTAGGAGATGTGTGAAGGTGGATACAAAGATGGCACAGGACTGCCTCACTCTCTCTTTGCTCCTTGGTTGTTGTGTACATAGCCACTTCTCAATCATCCTGGTCATGATCTCACCTATTGTGTGGGTAAGAGCTCCAAAATAGGACCCTGTGATCAAAATGTCCGGAAACATGAGGCCATGACATCAAAAGGCCAGTTCCGTGGTGCAAGTATGGCTTTCAGGTGCTGCTGGCTTCAAAGCTCAGCCCTAAAACAAAGGAGAAATCTATATTTGGGGACATTCATGCAAAGCATTACCGCTCCTTGCTCATCAGAGGTGCCCAAGCAGCTAAAGATTACCAAAAATAAACTAACTAACAAACAAACAAAAAAAACCCTCAAAGGGACAAGAAAAAAAGGGAAAAGCAAAAAAAAAAATTATGCAGACCATTAATGTAATGAGCTTCAGGGAAAAAAATACTCTTTTTTTTCTTTTTTATTTTTCCCACAGAGATTAGCTAAATCATTAAACTAGGGATGTCGTTGCTGAACTCTGCAGTCACCTGCCCAGAACTGCAGGGACCCACAGTGGTAGAGACTGGCCGACTTTCCCGGGAAAGTTTTTTGTTATCCTCATATTGCTTGGTTTTTTTACACCACATCTGTGCTTGCTTCGTCATTCTGCCATCTGCTGTAACAAAATACAGACAAAGCATTTCAGAGAACAACCCCTCCACACTTTAAAATGCTCCAAGCTGGAGCACAGCCTTTTACTTCTCACAAGCTGCATGTAGTGCTTATTATCCTATCCTACTCCTCCTCATCTTCCTTCTCCTCCTGCCCCACATCCATGATGAATTACACACACTTAGCAAGCATGGAGAGCACAGAATCCCATTGCTTTTGCCACAATGTTTCTATTAAATGAAACGAACGTTCCTGCACTTGACTTTGCTGCGCAAATACATTCGCCGAGAGGTCAGAGATAGCAGGTCGTTATCATGAAATTTTTAATTTTGGAACTCCCAATCAGGCTCGTTTCCTGTTTGGTATTGTCTGCAAATGCACAATACAAAAGCCTCGGGTTGCTAAAGAATCGAAATAACAGAGTATGAGAAGAGTGGTTTTGAGCACACACTCTGTAAAGTCCAGTCAAAGTTTCTTCCTGGTGCAGCCGCACAAATCTCTTGGTAGCAGTAAACTCTCTGCACAGACTTCATTCCTGAACACATGTTCAAAGGTGATAAAATAAATGCAGATGGTTTTCCAAAACCTCAGTGGAGCATTTTTTGCTGTTACTAAATGGACTGGAAAAAAACTAGGGGGAAAAAGCGGAGAAAATACAGTTTGACACAGACAGGCAATTTCAGAATAGCATTTGGTCATTTGGGAGAAAATCTAAATAAAATGTGTGCTTATAATGATCTATTGGCAAAACAATATTGACAGAGCATCTGAGCTGCCTAATGGAAGTGATTTTTAGAATGCTTAAATTAAACTGGCATTGAGAGCTGCATATTTTGTTTAATTACTTAACACAAACAAAAAAAAATTGGATAGGAATTTTGAATTCGTTGTGCCATGACCAAAGTTGACAATAAAACCATCCCTGGCTACAGTGAAAAGAGAATCAGACCTTAACAAATTTATTACAGGCTTTGTTTACAAACTCATTACAAAATTATACAGCATCTTATGCGTACACAGGATTTACAGGAACGCGTTACTGATGTGTGGGATTGCTTTGCTCTCTGGTCGAGATCTGCAGGTTTTTCTTCGCTTGGGGCCTGATCCAGCTTCCACTGGAGAAGGTGAGATTTTAATTTTTTCTTTTCCCATTGACTTCAGTGGAAGCTGGATCATATCCAGGGGGTAACACTTCCGCTCATTGTTTTCCTGGGGTGGGAAAGAGGCAGCCAGTCTAATAACCGTACACACCACGCTCCGTTCTCATCTCATGTGTTTCAGATGACAGGCATATTTACTCCGAGACATTTTTGCTGGCTGCTTGTAAAATACTTGTTAAAGTCAAGAGTCAAAGACCAGTTCCTGTTACTGGATTTACAGTGGAAAATGACAAATGGCTTTCTTTGTACCTTTAAAGAATGAACCTCCCTTGATTTTCAGTGAGCAGAAATAAAGGCATCAGAATCAACCCCAATGTTGTTTACATTGTTATAAAGATATGTATTCTACCCTGTCTTCAACAGATTTTTTCTAGATTTACAGTAATGCAAACAAAAGTGACATCCACACTGCAGGAACAAGGTAGTTTCTGATTAATGGGATTCCACCAAACCAAATTGGTCTTCTTATCTCCTCTTCTCACATGGAGATAGACTTATGTGACATAGTGAAACAAATAGATCTCTAAAGTTAATGTTACATAACTATATCAGCTCTCAGTTGCTCCCAGCATCTGAAAAAAAATCTTTATTTGGGAACTCAGAGTGTAAAATCAAGCTTTTAATTTATAAAAAAATCCGGTGGGGCAAAACTCTGAAAAAGATTCTTTTCCCCTCAAGCCAAAAAGGTTAGTTAAAACTTAAACTTTACTCCTAAGAAAAGTAGCAAGAGCTCTGTGGGGTTGGGTTTGGTTTTTTTCTTTTTAAAATTTTTGCCAAGAAATGAGAAATATTCTAAACAGATCTATCAGCTACCAAGTTCCTTGTTATATTACATCCTCTCATTTTAATTACTGCCATGGTATTGAACCTCTGAAGTTGTTATTGCGTGAAGCAAAGCTAGGACTTAGTGCTGCAAGGTGATGATATTTCCTGTGAGGTAAATACCCTGGCCTCATGCTGAAAATTGAGATGGTTCTCAAAAGCTTTGCTTCTGCCCTCCCCTGAAGAAAACACCCACGTGCTCCAACCTGGCTTTCCAAGACAGGACTGTTCCAGTGCTTGGCCTCAAGGCAACCTGTCCAGCTCCCCAGTGGTTTTATGGTGTGCAGCACTCTCTGTAAGGGATTAGGGGAGACCGCACAGTTTGCTGCCTTTCATGGCCTGTTGCATGTTTGAAGTTGGTGTTCCAGGAGTGAAAGCTGCAGCCTTGTGTTGGAGGGCTCTGATCTCATTTCCATTTGTGATGCTGAACATGCTACGGCAGCAAAAGCTGTAGCTGTAAAGCACTCAAAAAAAACCTGAGGGTAAAACTTTCTGAATAGCTGGAATTTCCCTGCCCTGGCTGTGGGTTGGATCTATCTGGACACAGATAACGTGCAGCCCAGTCTGAATTCTGTTCCTAGCTGTGAACTCTCATTTGCTTCCTAGGAGTGGGATCCCATCCAGGGCATTGCACAGCTAATGTGTAATGGGACATCTCTTCAAGTAGTGTCATTATTCCTGTCCCCAGTGGAGCTACATGACAATCCAAAGAGTCTGAGGTAAATACAATGCTAGCATATTTGCCTGTCCTAAGCAACAACTCATATGTTTAATTAGGTAACTTCAGTATAACCACAGACTTCATGGATTTTAGCCACCATCCATTTCACGTTGCTGTGAAAGGTACCAGGTCTCTCGAGCAGTTCAACACATTTTTCCCCTGTGAAAGATGGAGAATGGATTGCTGAAGAGAAGGAAACCTTCATACGGGTGTGTGGCTTTGATATCCACGCCAGGATATAATATCTTTCTTTACTACGATTTGCAAGCCAAGGGTTCTTTTAAGATTAAAACACCACTGGCTTTGTTTCTAATTTAAAAACTCAGAGAGGAATGATCCAACAACACAAGCAGAAGATAATTGATTCGTGTGAGGAGGAAGAGGCTGATCACAACAAACCATCTTTTATGTATTACATTAATGATCCATTTAGATCAGTTCTTGGCTTCAGCAAGTTTCGGCTACAAATATTTCAGATTTTTTTCATATTTTTTCAATGATGCACTGGCAACATTAGAAACAGTTGCAAAACAAATGTGCTTCCAAAACACAAATTGATGTTCCTGGATTACTAGCAGCCATTCTGAAATGCTAACAGAGGGAAAATGGTCATTTTACTGGCAAAACTGGCATAATATACACAGAAACTATATTTTAGGGCTACCTGATGCCTATAAATTTGACATCATCTGCAGGCTACAACACGTATTTTGGTCCTTGTTTTTGTTGGTTTGTTTTTTTTTGGATTTTTTTTTTTCGTGGTGAGGAGTCAACACTGCAGATCCAATTAAATATGAACGCATAGAGCAGGGAATATAAATATGTACACAAGTCTTGGCATTGATCTGATTTTTAACAAGTTTACTAAATGACAGTCACTGGCTTGACAATACTGAATGAAAAATACTGATTTTACAGATTTTACAGGAAGGTTACGGTATGCTGCTGACAAGCAGTGTCACAAACATAGTCTTAAAAAACCCCGGAGTTGGCCACGGCAGAGGCACACACCCTTTGCTCTTGTTTATTGAGAGAGAAAGCTTATATACTGTAGATTTGCTGAAGTTTAATAAATAAGGTCAACTTATAATATATATAAAACAATATAAACATTTATATGCTACATGCATATCATATAATTTAAAGTAATAATTTATATAGCAAAGAGATGCAGATCTATGTTCTTCCTATTTTCCTGGACAAGGCGCACACGCAGGAGGTGTCTATCCTTATCCACCTCCAGCCCACCAGTTTGTTGTTTTCTGAAGTCAGTGCTCTGACATAAGTTTGGGATGTCTTGCATTGGGAGTTCCAGTGCTTGTCATCGATGCCGCGGCAGCCGTTTTTTACAGGCTTGGCCTCTTTACACCGCGTTTCGTAAAAGTATTGCTTAACCGGAGAGTTGCCCGTTTTAATTTCTCCCAGAACAGTCACCTGGTGTCCCCTAATGTCGATGGCGGAGGATTTGTCCGTGACCCACAAACTTTCACTGTCACAAACGGAGTATTCCCCGCGGTGGCCCCGGTGCTCCGCGTACCTCTTCCGCCGGGAGGTTCTGTTCAGCACCACGGAATTCCCGATGTAATCCTCCATGAGGTACAGCGGCGGCGGCTCCAGAGGCGTGTTGTCACTCAGGAGGACTCGGGGCGAGTTGTAGCGTCTCTGCTGCCTCAAGAGATCTGTATCCACTGAGATAACTGGCTGGAAGTCTGATTTCACATTTTCCTCCCCATCCATGTCTTGCTGAGTGTCTGTTTTCTGCACCGTGTTTTGATAGTTTTCCTTAATGTCTACCATCTGCTTAGAAAGCTTGTTTTTTAAAATGTCTGCTTGAATGAGTTTAATAATAAGAGAATTTATCGAATCTTCTGGCAAACTCCTTTGATCCATGTTGGAAGACTGGATGCCACGAAGGTAAGCGAGAAATATCACATAAAACAAGATGGACATCACCTTGTTCACCTGTAAGAAACAGAGAGCCAATGTTAGAACAAAGAGAGAGGTTTGCTAGAGGCTATAAACATAAAAATTGGAATTTTTTTTTAGTAACATCTATGACTTTGAAGACATATATAGAGATATAGAAACACAGACTGTGTGTTTCTGTGAAGACGGTCTTTGCAACTCTCTTTTGATTTTATTTTTTTTTTCAACATTTCATCTATATTTTGGGCCTTGCTTTTCCCCTTTCCATGCAGAGTGGGATATATTTCAGTTAAGCCCTTTCTCTGCAGAGGTAGGTAGTTCTTGGGATTGTATGGCAGCAGAGTGAGGCCAAGTTACTTCCACAGAGTTTATTCCACAGAGAAGTTTGGTTTCAAAATTACAGGATCATGCAGAGTAGAAAACCATCTCACTGTGTAAAACAAAAAAGTTCTGACTTTGCTAACTGTTGTCAGGTTTTGTGTGCTGAGATCTCTCAGACTCATCTAATTCATATTTATCAAGTGGCTTCTGTTTAATGTTACCATAAGAAGGAAATAAACCCTGTGTTTCAATAGTGCTTTCGTTCTCTTTCTCTGGTAAGGGAAAGGGTTCTTGAAGGAAAATGATGCAGTCAAGTCAGAGAGTGGTAATTAGGCCTCTATAATACAAGTGGGGAATTCAGATGGACCCAATGACTATTTCATAGGATTTTTTTCCAGGATTAGGGACTTAGAAGTTGCTTCATTACATTTATATAAGGTGATACAAAAGTGACATCAATTAGAAATATTCAAGGACAGATTGAGGACACCCCTCTCCCCACCATCTCCTAAAATGCAAAAGTCTTGTTCAAAAATTCAGTATTTTGAAAACCATTCCTAAAAGTGTGCTGCTTCTTTGGTACTTTGCCATACACTGCTCTATATGACTTCCTGTGGTCTCCTTCAAATTCTACCTTCTGTCCATATTCTAGAAGCTCATTTGTCACTTCTTTTTAAGCCTGTCATTTTTGTTTGTGTAGCTGAGAGCCAGGAGCAACTGTCCAGGGAGGTGGTTTTTCTCCTTGTATAGTTGGACACCTGTATCTTTGGTATTTGCATTTATATTTAAGCGAAATCAATTCTCAACGTAAAATCCTAAGTCGTGGACATGAACCATTCACTTCAGAGCACACCTGTTTATAAATTTGCTGCACAAGTAGTGGATTGAAGGAGAAAAGACAAAACTCATCTTAGACCACCCTCGTAGTCTGTGATAAACCCTGACTGTAGTACTGCTTCAAGTGACTCAGGAAAGCCTTGAATTTGATCTTCCTGTTCTGCAAACACATCCACCACCTGCCAGAGACCTCTGGCACTCTGGGATGAAGGCACAGAGTCACAGACCATGGGACAGATGGAGTTGGAAGGATCCTCCAGACATCATCTAGGCCAATCTCACTGCTCAGAGGAGTATCAGCCAGGGCAGCTTGCAGAGAGCTGTGCCTACTCAGGTTTGGAATATCTCCATGGATGGAGACTCCACAACCCTCTAGACAATCCATTCCAGTTTTTTACCACCCTTAAAATTAAAAAAAGCACATTTCATGTATCAGCAATGTTTCCTATATCTCGATTTTTTCCCATTGCCTCTTGTCTTTTCATGGACACACCTGAGTAGAGCTACATCTTTATTAACCCCTCCTGTGAGGTATTTCTACTCTTCAGTAAAATCTCCCTCGGACTTCTCTTCTGCAGCATAAACAGCCCCATCTCTCTCAGTCTCTCGTCCTGGTACAGTTGTCCTAATCCTTAACAATTTTCATGGATTTGCTCCTGTATTAAGGAGCCCAGAACTGGACACAGCGCTCCAGATATGCCTCACCAGTGCTGAGATGAGGGGAAGGATCCCCTCCCTCCTGAATAGAAAATTTTCCACTTAAAAAAAAAAAAAAGCACCATTTTCTGTTTCAGACAGCAAATGAAAAAAAAAAAATCTTTTACTGTACAACCTTCTATCCACTCTAAACAAAACTCCTTTTTGCAAGATTGAGTCCCCACTTCACAGTTTGGAACTGCAGCAAAATCAGAGCTACTCTCTGTGGATGTGTGAGCTGTCCTTTTATGGACAAGAAATGTGTTTTCTCCATTCTCAGTTTGTCACAGTATGAGTTCACCTAAATCTAGACTGTTACTTGCAGCAATGTTTTGCTTTTGGGGCAGGGGGGAATCGAAGATGTTCAGTTACCATACAATTACTGTCATACCTGGATAAATACTAACTTAATGTAGATGGATCTCAGAGCCCAGACCTTTCTGGATAAAAAATTGCCATGCAATTTCGCCTTCCCTCAGCATAGGGCTTGCTTTGAAAAACAGTAAAAATATTATTAAACAGATGTCATTGAGCAGATTTCTCACAGCACCCGGAATCCACACGCAGGACGACACACGAGCCCACAGGACAGTGAGCAAAGCTCTGACAAGGCTCAGTCCCAAAGCCAGAAACATTATTCATGCCAACATGCAGCTGCATGCAATCCCTGCTCTGCTCAGTCTCAAAACTAAGTGGCACTAGCAAAATACACAAGTTGGAGCAGGTGATGAGGTGGGAAAAGTTGGGCTGGAGTTCCTGCAGGCTCTCTTTAATGTCACGCTGCACACAGAAAGGAAGAGCTGGGGACCTGAGAGCTGGAGAAGCTAAAATGAGTTATTCTTCTTCTCCGTGCAGGAACCCCATTAATGGGAAAAACGTTGGAAAGCATTTTCTGAACTTCATGTGAACAGTCTTATGGATTTGGTGGGAAAGATGTTAACTTTGAAATTCAACCTGTAGTTTCATTTATGCTTCGCAAATTGTTTGCTGGAAAAGTAAAAAGCTTTCAAACAAAACTTTATATTTTTCTGGGTGCAAAACATTGACAGAAAACACAAAGATTGGTAAGATTACAGTTTTCAGGGAGTTCTCCAACCTAGGAGGTTCATAAGTGCTATTCAGAATCTCCAGTCCATGACTAAAAATTGCCAGGCTGTCCATGAAGTCCAGCACCTCAGAGTATGCCTAAAGCACTACTCTAGATAGGAGAAATGGGTGTTATTGGAAAACTGCAGCTGGTTTATGGCCTTGGCTGTAATCTGATTATAAAACACATTAAAAGTGTATTTGTTTGCAGGTCTGGGAGTATTGCATTTGATGAATGGCTCTTTGCCCAAAATGGAAGGCTCTGCTTGTCTGAACTGCAGATAATTTGAAATTTATTTGGCACGTGTGTTAAATCCATAAAAAGAAGAGGAAAATGTAAAACATTAAAATGTTTATCTTTTCATATCCTCAAAGCAAATAATTCTTGTGTTTCTGGTCATGCCTCCAGGAGTTCCACAATACAATTCACAAAGCAGAACAAGTGCTTACTCAGTGCAGACCAGTGAGTAAGTTATCTACAGAGGGGACTTAGATTGGAGGCAAGATTTCAGCATACATGTCCTGTCTGAGAGAATACTGACTGAAATTCCAGATTCCTGGGGGGCACAGGTTCTGTGGACCTTAGCAGAAGCTACTTCAGCACAAGCATCTCTTTCTTTGGTATTTTAGAAAATGGTATAAAAATCTCCCAAGAATTCAGTCCTTCACATGACTTTTTCTCCTCTTTCATTGTTCATTTTCCATTTTTTTTTTTTCAATTCAGATTGTTCATTTCAGGTGGAAAGATTTTGCCCAAGCTAAATTTTCATTGGTTAGCTGATGTTAGTTGATATTTTTGTTGTTCTTCATGGTTCTTCTTGGAATTTTCCACATGTAAATTCCTGACAAAAGTTCATTTTGGCTGTGTTTGTGGCCAGTTTGCACTAAGCAAGTTTGACTTGGAGATTGCTGATATTTGTGGCTCAGAGGAGAAAAGCAAACAGCACAGAAAAGAAAAGCACATGCTTAGAAAAGCTGATTGATCTCCCAACTGTGGCTTAGTTTTACTCTATTTTAATGGTTTGTTCTGCCTATCACTGCAGTTTTAGCAGGGTATTAATGCTGTCTGAACTAGGTGGCTCAGGGAAGGTCTAAATTTAGGAGAAGTAAATAAGCTTACCTCTTCCTTCCATCAATAAATTCAATCCCTAATAAACTCTGGTGAATCACTTTCTGCTCTTTTCAGGCTCACTACTATATGTAGCAGGGAAAAATTTAGTTTAGTTTAGTTTAGTTTTGTATAGCTTTATTTTGGTCAGTCTCTGAACGTTCCATACAGGGAAAGAGCAAAGCATTATTTAAAACATTCTGCAGAAAGCATGAAATCCTAGCTCTGTGAGAGACTGCCCAAGCATTTACTTGCTAGTCATTGCTAAGAGGAACTGGAATAGAAGGAAAAGTGACTGGTGAGTTTTACATTCAGCATTGTAATACCCCACATGATTTATGTAAGCCAGCTTGAAGTGTTTGGCACTTTCTAAAAAAATGTAGGAGCAGCTTCTGTTCTTCAGAACAAGCAAGTAATGATCCTTTGTGGTGGCTGACAGCTTTTCCAGGCTTTTACCAAAGAGGAAAGTGTAATTATTCTCACTGTTTGCTGAGCACTGCTTCCACAACCTCCCAAGTCATGGATTGCCCTGCTGATTCCCTCTTCCTAATAACTATGTTGGGAAGAAATGCAGCCCTCTTCCTCTGTGCTTCAGGGGACATGGGGAAGGTACAGAGCAAGAAAAGCATTCTGAATGTTCAGAAAGGTGAGAATGTGAAACAACTGCATCTGAAAATTTGCACTGTGTTTCAGAATAGTAATCAACTGTTTGTACAATATGGATTTATGAAGGTAGATTGCTGCAGAGTGCTGAATGTCCCTGCAGACATCCTCCTGAACACTTCCATTTCTCAGGATACAGAAATTTCAACTTATACAGATTGAAGCTACAGCTTCCACAAGAGCCAGGCCCTCTAACAAACCAAAGAATTCAGACACAAAATCAAGTGATGGCAGCTTTAAGTGTTAAGCCTCCCATGCTGAGGGGCAACCAAACTGGAAATTTGAGTGAGGGGACTTGAAACAAATCCATTCCCCTGGCACACTGGCAGGGGGG